TTTTTTTCGCAAACTCTTCGCGTAATCTTCGAATCTTTTCCCTTTCTTTTTTTAATACTTCTTTTTCCTTCCTTTATAAACTTCGTAAAAGTAGCGATAAAAATAATTAAAATATAATATCGTCGTCGTCGTCGTCCGTAAAGTTTTTAGCGGTTTATTTTAAATCGAAGCTTAAAAGTATTGCTTATTGCTTTTTTATTTCTTCGAAGGTTTATTAATGCTGCTGCTCGTCGTTCAATAGTTTGATTATCTTATTAGCGTAACCCTTTTGCTTTAAAAGGCATTATACGCTTTTGGATAGCAAATGTTTTTTAAAGCCGATAAGAGTAGCATACTTAATGCTTCGTTTTATATTATTTTTCGTTATTATAAAACTCGTTTAATCTTAGCGTAAGAAAGCGTACCGGAATAAGCTTTACAAGTCGTAGTCTTTTAGTCTTTTATACTTTGCATTTAAGAAGTCCTTTACTATTGCTCGGGCTATAATCTTATTATCGAGCCTTGCGTATAATAGCTCGTTTAAATCAAACGAGATGCTCGATATCTCGTCGTTTGGTCTTTCCGAAAGGCTTAAGAGTCTTAAGTATAGTGTTTCTTTTAGCTAAATAGCTAAGGGTTTCGTAAGTAGTAATAAAACTCGAAAGGTATAATACTTTGCTCTTTATCGGCTAGACTCTTTACTTAAAGGTCTAATTGCTCGATCGATTATAATTATTATTTGTTTATATATAAATCGATCGTATTAATTGGGTTTGCTATATGTAGCAAGCGCGGCTTTATAGCTTTAAAAGTTATATAAAAGTGATTTGGTTCGAAATCACTTTTCCGTAAGAATAAAAGAAAATCGATAGTATAAAAAGCGATTTAATACGGAATCGCTTTTCCGTTATAAAAGAAAAGTATTAAAATGTAAAAAAGCGACTTAATACGGAATCGCTTTTTCGTTATAAAAGGAAAAAGGTATCGTAATAAAAAGTATCTTCGCTATAAAGTCTTAGCTTCTTTATGATTGATCACTTAATAATAATTTAATTACTAATCAATATTAAATTGCTTTTAAGCGATTAAAAATATATATTCGTAAGGTCGTAACGGTCGTTAAAGTACTTGCAATTGCAAAACACTCGATTAATAAAGTATTTGAATTCTATTTGCTCCTTAAGATTTAAAAGAGCTGATTCCTTTTATAAGATTAAAAGGAATCACGTGCATTAGCTAACTAATAAGCCTACTTATCAAGTTAAAGATCCTTTAATTGCTGATATGCTAAGCGAAGCATGCCAAGTGGCCCGTGAACTATGGTTCACGGGTGAGTTCCCTAACTACTATTACTAGCTAGCTAAGGTCGATATAGAAATACCGACAAAGACCGTATATTGCGCTTCGAATACGCTAACGATATTTACTTGTATCGCGTTAATCGCACTTTCGACCGGAATATCGTTATACTTCGAAACGATATTAATTTTATTATTAAATAAAGTAATACTTATAAGATCGCTTTCGCTTTAAAGAAAATCGAAATGATGCACTTCTTTCGTAAGAAAAGTACGTATGCTTTTTTCTTCGTAATCGATATTATGATTATTCTATATATTATTATAAGTTCGAAAGACGAAAATATACTTGCGATACGATAGCTTAAAGTCTAATTTAACCGTAAGCTAAAGTTCCGCTGATACGTTCGAGAATAAGCGGCTAAAGCTAAGAAAGTCGCTTAATATATTCGCAGTTTCGTTAAGATAATTTACGATCTTTTTATAGCTTTATTACGCAAAGCAATTACTATTTGCGTACTGCTTTTAATGCTTTATAACACGAAAGCGTAATACGTAAAGCGCTATCGCTTAATTTGCAAGTCCGAAAGACTAAAAGTTATTAGCGCTCGAATCGAAAAGATAATTGACTTTATTAATAAAACGATAACCTTCGCGGCGCGCGAAGTACTCTCGGTTTAAAGAACGATACTAACGGCAACGCTCTTTCGAAATGCCGAGCTTCTTTCCGGCGCTACGGCTTTAAAAAAAGCTAAAACTAAGTTTATAATAAGACTAAAGACGGTAAACGACAAGCACTTATTAGTTAGCCGGATACTTTTGCGGATCCGATAACGCGGTCGCGGCGCGAAGACTATTAAGATCTTCGAAACTAAAATCTAAAAATTAAGAACTTTTTTCTTAAACGTTTTCCGCTTTCGCTTCGTCTTTTCGCACTTTATATCGAAAAGCAAACGGGACTCGGCGGACGGCAAAACGAAAAAAAAAGCTGCTATCGCATTCGAAGCATAATAATAACAGCTTTCGTTAAAAGATATTACGATCTTTTCGAACAAATCAAAATAATACGACTAAAGCAACCGACTAATAAGCTACAAGTACGTAGTTTATCGAAAACGATAAAAGATAAGCTACGAGTACGGCTTTATCAACGATTACTTTTACGTCTTTGACGCGAAAGCGATAAAAGCATAAAAAGGCTTCGAACGAATAATATACGCTTATCCGACGGCGAAACGGATTTAGCTTTGCATCGATAATATATTAATTATTTAATATCTTCGCGGAAATGCTTTTTTATTATCGTAATAAGCGTTCTTAAACGTTTAAAAAATAATAAAAACTCGAAACGTACGAATACGATAGTTTTTAAAGTATATAAGTATTAAAAAGAACGAACGAGCGGATAAGCTTATAAACTTAAAAGCAAAGAAACCGGATTAAGATATTAGTTTAGCATCGTAACTTACGATTAGCGGCATCCGCACACTCTTCCGCGATATACGAAATAAAGCACGAGAAGCTTAATAAAGCGCAAGCTCTTTTAAGCTCTTACGCTCGTATCGAAAATAAAGCCTTTTATATTTAATTAAGCTTCTTTCGAAGCTAGAATTCTTACGATATATCTTATATAAACTACTTGCGATCCGAATTACGCATAAAGACTTTACTTAATACTATATTAAATTCTAGCATTACGACGCTAACTTAAAGTATGCTTGCGATAAACGCAAGTCTTTTTTGCATATAGCCTTTTATCGATTTACGCAACGACGCTTCTTCTCTTAGCTTTACAAGACTCGACCGCGGACCTTTTCGAGCACGATTTCGAAAGCTTACAATTTTTTTAAAAGTCTCTTTAATAATCCGGCCGATTTTCAAGCCTTTTTAATTATTACGGAATTCTACTCTAAGCATTGCGTTCGATAAAAGTGCTACTTTAGCTAATTAATATTGCTTCGATAAAAAGAACGAGGTACGCTCCGCTTTACTTAAGCTATAAAAGCTCGTCAGATCAACTGCGTCACAAGACTAAGACTTTAAAATAGCGTAATGCGCTTTCAAAAGAATTCTTTTTAGCACTAATATATTATATTAAGTTTTCTTTTAAAGTTTAAGCTTTCGTATTTACTTTTTCTTTTATACTCGGCTGACTTCGGTCCGGCTTTGATTCTTATCGTTACGCGACGTAAACAGCTCGCTTTTAATTAGCTATAGCAGTTTATATATGCTTGATTCTCTCTTTTATAGTTTTCCCTTAATAAAAGGTTTCTTTTTATATGATCCATCTTATTTATAAAAGAAAAGCGCATACGATAGTAGCTTTCGCTACAACACTTTGAATTGCTTTCTAAGGCCTTTTTATATATAACTCCTTAGCTTAACACGTCGCCGTACCCTATAAGAAGTCCCAGGGCGGCAGGCTTCGCCTGCTACCCGCCCGACGTAAATAAATACAATAACAACAACAACAACACCACCCCGTCAGCACCGTAAAGGAACCCTCGGAAGAGGAAACAAAAAGTATCTCGTCAAGTTGGTAGGACTTACGACTCCCGGCTTGTCTGCAAGTATCACCAGCCATTCCGGGCTTCTTTTTTTCGCCACAGCGGCAGGTGCGGAAATCGCGCTGCTGCTGCTTCTTGCAATATTCCGCACAGCTTGCGAAGCCATCTCTTTTGTTTGTTAATAGGGTATTGACTTATGAAGATTCCCACTTTTCTTTTTTCTTTTTTCTTTCCGGCTTGATAGGATAGGGTAGGATAGGGCGAGGTGGTTGATAAGAACCTGTGACTAGCTAGGTAGGTAGCTAGCTTACTTTCTCGGCTAATTTTGGTCTTTTTTGAAAATATGCTACGTACGATCCAGGCAGAAAGAAACACCTGCAGATCACTCTCCCATTCCCCTTTTGACAGCTGGTACCGCTTGAGATGCAGTCAGCATCTCGTCACGTATCAGAAACGACCGTCCAAGGATATGTCGGTACAGGTCGTCGGTGTGGACGTTCTAGTTCCCTTTCCAGCTTAGCTCTCACCCGCACATCGCTTCCCGCTTTCCGGGCCACACGCACAAAAACTCCAAGCAATCAACACATCGCCTTAACCCTTCAGTCCCTGACTCTTCAACCACATATACAAGCCTCGTCAACCGTTCGTAAAACTTCGCTTGAACTTCTAGCACTATACAACTATATTGCCTTCGAATTCAACACATCAGACGGAACAGACAAGAAAAGATAAGACTAAAGAATACTACTTCAACATGCATGCCTCTCTGCCCCCAGCGGAAGACGGGAGAGGCGCTTAAATTTCCATGCGCTAGTCAGACGTCCTTCCCGATCCCGTAAGTACGATCAGCCGATGGAGACCAGCACCGCCGCAGCATCGCAGACCCGTCTACCGGTTGGTTAAATTCCTCGGCCTCGAGAGTCAAGGGCGGAGATAGGGAGGCGTGGCATCGAAGATGTGACCATCCTGGGCGCTGTGCTGCTACGCTACCTACCGACAACGTACATGACCCCGCCACAGCTCATGCAAGCCTGATCGGCGGAGGGCAGACGGGATGAACTGCCTAAAAAAAATCTCTCATGGGTATTTTGCTTTCCAGTCTCGTAGGGCAAACATGAGAGAGAGAGAGAAGAGAGAAAGAGAGAAGAGAGATCCCAAGTAAGCTTCCAATTCTCGAGGCTAAGTACAGCGCCATCTGCCGCGCGCTACTACGATCATGTCACAGATCACCGCAGCCTCGGACTTGGAGTATTGGATGCAGAGACTTCGGGACAAGGAGCGATGCACTTTTCCCATTCTAGATGATGGCGTGGAGAACGCCTCAATTCAGGCTCAATGGGTGGATGTGAAAGTCCTTGATTCGAGCTTGTTGGATGCTTTTTGTCGGGACAACGAACTGAAGCTATCTACCGTTTTCCAGACGGCGTGGGCATTGGTGGTGAGGAGCTATACGGACAGAGACGATGTATGCTTTGGGTACTGCGAAGATTCACAGGTGAGTAAACATGGAAGCGCCATGTCTTATTGTCACAGTTAAATATGTATGTGTACATTTATATATCTATTTGGGGAATGGGCAGGCTTCGGGACGTATCCACTGACTGGCTACTTCATTTTACAGTTGATCCCACGGCACCTTGTCATCCCGCGTGAATCTGGACTCAGGCATGTACTTGATTCCGTAGACACATCGTACACACGCGATTCGAATCACAGAAGCTGCAACTTGGCAGATATCGAAGCCTCTCTGAACTTGGACGAAGGAGGACTCTTTAATACCGAATTATGGTTCCGGCAGAGGGACGGAGATTATGGTTTGGAGAGTGCCTCAGTTGGCGGGAGTCGCTTAAATTCGCGGAGTGTGATCGGCGTCGAGGTCGAGTCCGGGCCAGGCTGCTCGGTATCCTTGAGGCTCAGATACAGACACGCAGGTCTATCAGATGGCCAAGCTCTTAACGTTTCGAGCTCCATGGAGATGGCTTTGCTATGCGTGCTACAAGAGACTCATCGAAGCGTGGGCGAGCAAAGTCTATTCAGTGAACACCACCAGCGCCAGGTGAAGCAATGGGATCGACATCCGCCGGAGGAGCAGAATCTGTCGCTACACGGAGCCATGTTGTTGCTAGGTAGAGTGTAAGGTGAGAGCATGGTGTACGGTGCACGTGCACGTATACGTGCACGCACGGACCTTAGCCTTGGCACGCTCTTACTACAACCTCGCCCTCAATTCCTAGTCTTAAATAATACAAGTCAATCAACTACAACATCAGCAAAGCTTCTTCGTGACTTAGTACTATCATTAGATTGATATTAGCAATAGGTTATAAGCCCCGAAGCTTAATTCAATTCATTTTAAGGTATTTCTAGACTTTAAACACCCTTTTCGGCGTGTTGGAATACTTACTCTCTCCTTTGATAATTCGTCACCGTGGCGCGCGATTCGTCAGAACGCGCTTCCATATTACCCTTCGTCGCAATTGATCCTTAATTGCAACCACTTGCTAGTATAGCGAAAAGTAAGGCCGAACTTAGCGGTTCTTTAAGCAAAAAGCAAAAGGAAACTGCAGTCAAAGCAAACCTAGCTATACAACAATATATTACGAAGAAAGGAAAGGCGGCAAAAGAACTGCTTGCTTTAAAGAAACTATCATTAGTGCTTGAACCTAAAATCTCTTTATCACCCCTTTAACCGCGCTACTTAACGCTACTAAACGTAAGAAGCTCACTATACGTAGCAGCAACTCTGCTTAAAGTATACCTTTAATCTTTCTTCCGCGAGGCTAATAAAAGTGAATTGTTATTAAGTAAAGACGAGTTTACTACTCTCTTAAAGAAAATCTCTAGGTCGCTAGCGCGCTTAATCGATAGCGAACCTCCTCTTCTTCCGAATCCTTCGAGTCCTTTCGAACCACTTATTTCGACGATCCTCGTACCGATACGCAAAAAGAAGATGAGTTCGAGCTACAGCCTCAACTTACTCGAAGCTTTAAAGTTGAAAGGAAGTGAAAACTATTAGCAATAAAAAAATAAAGTAATTAATATTGCTAAGTCTAATAAGATTGGTAAATATATCAATCTAAAGTCTAAGTCTTTAATACTTATAAAAGTCGACGAATGCGACGACACAATTAAGGCAAAAGACTTGCAAAAATGGCTAGATTAAGATACCGGAGAATCACAAATGAAGCTTGCAATTACCTTAAATTGCAAGGCTAGTCTTCTCGAACATACATAAAGTAAAGCTATTGCCTTAGATATATAAGAGTCTTTACGACATCAATATAAAGGTTTTAGTACGGTCTTAAAATACAACGCTATTCAGACTTATATCATAATCAAATACGACGATTACCCTTTTTTAAAAAAGTTCGTGATAGCTTTTAATATTGCAATTACAAAACTTAATTCGCTAGATATTGCGCCGCCCTTATAATAGAATCCCGTGATGTTTATCGCTGCTTGCTTAAAGAAATGGCTTATTTAAGTTAAGCGCTAAAGATCGAATCTACGGATAGCGATTACTATACAAAAGAAAGCAGAAATCACTTTCGAATCTTTTATTAAGGATATCACCGACGAAGCTCGAGGCAGCGACTCAACTAAAACAATTAATAGTCAAGCCTTGTATAATAACAAATCAAACTCATCGAATAACTCGAATGCGAATAACAAAAGAAGACATAAAAGTGAAAATAAAAGTGGAAATGCAACAAACAAATCGAGATTATAATAAGTTGCAAATAAAAGACTTGATTGCAAACACTACAAGCAACCTAAACCTCTATACCCTTTTAAAGATTGCTTCGTTATTAATAAAAAGCTTCGAAAGGCGTTTAAAAAGAGAACTAGCAAAAAGGCTATCTTATATTTCAAGCGTATTAAAAATAAGAAAAGTAAAAGAAACAACAATAACAAAAAAAAAAACGATAAAAAAGTTGATGGAGAGATCTTTTCTTATGCGCTCTTTCTTATTAAGAAACCTTTAACTATTGCTATTGCAAGTAGCATAGCATACTACACGTCGTTAAACAAGAATCGTTAGCTTTACGATATAAAAGCAATTGATTACGTTTGCAATAATCTCTTTAAGTTTATTATTTATATAACTAAAAAATATCTCTTTTTTATAAATACTATAAGAGGCTTAATTCGCCCCTTTAGTATTAGCACTTGTGTTATTAAATGCTTTAGATCACGAGGCTTAGCAAGCGTTATTAAGTATAAAAACACGCTTTACATGCTCCAAAGTCCCGTCAATCTGTACTTAAGCTTAAAGTTAAGCAAAATCGATAGTTATTTAAAAAGAAGTAAGTTGCTTACGGCTACCGACAAAAAGATCTATAAAGTGAATGCTAAGTTGTTTATCATTAAAGATAGCCTTTACGCACTTTCTGCTTTTATTATCGGCTACGCCTTACTTGCAGCCATTAAAAAGGCTCTTATTGATATTGAATTTTAACATAAACGTATATGCTATGCTAGCTTACAAGCTATTCGCGATACTCAAAGTAATATTATCGGAATAAAGTTTAAAGAAATCAAAACTAATAAAACACGTATTTACGCCTTTTATAAGAAGGGTCGTCTTATTAAGAAGACCAATAAAGTGTCAGCACGCAAAAGACTTACGATTGCTTTACAAGAGCTATACGTAGATATAATCCATTTAACTCTTATTAAGATCCACGATCACAAATACGCTTTAATCTTCACTTGCCTAGTTATAATAGCTAAGTAAAGATACACTTACGCAATCAAAAGTAACGCTTTCCTAATCAATAAGAAGATGATTCGCTTTGCTAAAACCTAATACAATCGCACTATTAAAGTATAGCGCTGCGACGAAGGTAAAAAATACTCTTTTAAGCAAATAAAAGAGTTAGCCGACCACTTTAATATATTACTTAAAGAATCAACACCTTACACCTTCGAGCAAGACGGTAAATCAAAGCGATTTATTCGTACTCTAATAAAAAAGCTACGCACCGCAACTATTAATCAAAAGATTCTTAAGTTCTTATAGCCCGAGTGCTTGATAGCAATAATCTATATCACTAATCTTATAGCTAACATTGCCCTTTTAGATGGAAAGACCTTTTACGAAGCTTTCTAAAATGATATTAAGCTAAAAGTGATCTACAAACTTTCGATCAAGTACTTGCGAGTACTCGAATGCAAAATCTACGTCTTAATTAAGCTTAAACGCCGCGTATAAAATCGCAAACTAGCGCTTAAAGCTAAAGTCGAAACATTAATTAGTTTCGAAAGCAATAACATCTAGCGAGTATACGTTCCTTCTCGATTTAATAAGAAAGTAGTTCGTACTTCTTATGTTTGTTTTAATAAGAATAGACTCGTTATCGAACTTACTTTTAAAGAAAAAAAGGAAGTGCTACTTAAAGCTAAAAGTGACTAAGTTAACCGTAATCAGCTTACTTTTAGCCAGCATAACCAAGATCAAAAGTCCTTTAAAAGCCTTGATCACTACGTCCAAGATAGATTAGATTTCGATAATAATTTAAAAAAGACTAAGGACGAAAAGGCTACCGATAAGCTCTCTGAACCTTACAAAGCTCCTTCCTTAAACGTTAAAAAAGAGGTTGAGAAAGAGGTCGAAGAGGAAGTTATTCCCTTTAAAGTAAATGATAAGGCTCTTACCATTCGAAGACTACGCAAAATCTATTTTTAAGTTTCCTTTTCGAAACGAGTAAATACTCGGTCTAGTACTCGCAACGCTGCTGCAGCTCTATTAACAAACGTAACTATTAAAAAAAGAATTAACACAAACACTTACCAATAGACCTACTTCAACGCTATTAAAAAGTCATTATTTGCAGACGATCCTTAAACTATAAAAAAGGCTTTTGCACGCTTAGATACAGATAATTAGCGCTAAGCTATTATCAAAAAGTACTCTGCTCTTCGACGCAAAAAGACGTAGTCAATTATAAAAAAGCGTAATATCTTTAAAGGTAGACGCATTTTAAGCTTACGTTTATTATTCAAGACTAAGAAAGATAAAAATAAAAAGATCGAGCGATACAAAATGAGATTCGTAATTTAAAGCTACACATAACAGAAAGGCCGTGATTACGATCAGACCTTCGCTAAAGTATGCAAATCAGCTATTTAGAAGCTCGCAATTGCTTTAGCTGCTCTTTACGACCTAAAAGTCTAACAATTCGATATTAACACTGCTTTCTTAAATAATAAAGCTAATAGCGATATCTATATCAAAGCTCTACTAAAATAAGTCGAATTCGGCTACACTCTTACTAATAAGGACTGCTTAAAGCTACTTAAAGCTCTATATAGCTTTAAACAATTACTACGCTTCTAGCAGAAGTTGCTACGAAAGCGACTTGCTAAGCTAAGATTCGCTCTTATAAAAACCGACAACTATGTTTATATTAATAAAGACTTTAAAATCATAATTATCACTTATATTAACGACTTTTTAATAATCGATAAATCGAGATCAATCTACGAGCAATTCAAAAAAGATTTGCACGACCTATTCGATATCACTTGTACCGATAAGGCTACCTACTTCTTAAGAGTCAGAATCGTTAAAGATCGACCCGCAAGTATTATTACTTTGTGCCAAGACGCTTATATTAATAAAGTGTTAGACCGATTCGGTATATCCAATTGCAAGAGTGCATTTACACTTTTTGCAATAGGTTCCGAGATTCACATAATCAAATTCGAAAGCCAAGCTACCTAATACGAAATTACATTATACTAATCAATCGTTAGCTCCTTGCAATACTTCGCAACTTATACTCGATAAGACATTGCTTACTATTGCTCTTTATTAGCTAAATTCTTGACCAATCCGTCACTTCAATATATAGCTGCTGCAAAGCGCGTTCTACAATACTTATAAAGTACTTGTATGCTATCAATTGTTTTTAATAGAAAGGACGCTAAGCTTATTAAATTAGTAAGCTATTGCGACTCCGATTGGGCCGGCTTTAAAATAGGTCGAGTCTTACACAGCGAAAGAGTATTCTTCTTTGCAAGAGGCGTTTTTAACGTTATTTCTAAACGCTAAACTATTATAGCTTTTTCTTCAACCGAAGCTAAGTACGTAGCTATATGCAAATTCGCTTAAGAAGCCGCTTAAATTAAGCAGATACTCAATGAGGTTAGCTATAAGAAAGCTAACGCGAAGAAAATTGAGATGATTTATGACTCACAAAAAGCACTCTCACTCTTTGAAAACCTTAAATACTATTAAAAAACTAAGCATATCGATATCAAGTTCCACTACGTACGCTATAAGATAGCAAAAAGACGACTCAACTTATAATATATTTTTAGCAAAAAGAACGTCGCCGACGGTATGACAAAGCTACTAAATGATACAGATCACGCTGCCTTTATACAACTACTTCGAATAAAAGTGCTAGAGCTATAGAGCTTAGCAAAAAGTGTTTTTTTTAGCAAAAGGTGGTAAAGGTATATTATAAAAGATTTTTTTCTCTTCCTAAAAGTCGTACTTGCTATATTCGATAGAAATTAAATAGACTATGCTCTTGGAAGTGTTTTTACTTCTACTTTACAGAAAAGGTATATTAGTTTAGATACAATTAAAGTACTGCCGAGAGCTTTTAAAGCCTCGACAAAAGGGTGTGTTGCTAAGTAGAGTGTAAGGTGAGAGCATAATATACGGTGCACGTGCACGTACACGTGCACGCACGGACCTCAGCCTTAGCACGCTCCTACTACAACCTCGCCCCTAATTCCTAGTCCTAGATAATACAAGTCAATCAACCACAACATCAGCAAAGCTTCCTCGTGACCTGGTACTATCATTAGATTGATACCAGCAATACATGTCTATCCAGGTCAAAGCACGACCAGATGCACCAGCTGTTCATGCCCACGACGAGCAGTGGACGTTCCAGGAAGTGGACGAACTCTCATCTGTTCTGGCTCGTCACCTGGTGATGCTCGGGGCCAAGAAGGGGATGAAAATCCCTCTTGTGTTTGAGAAATCGGGTTGGTTTATCATTGCTCTGATCGCTGTTTCCAAGGCATCAGCAGCTTTTGTCCCTGTAGACCCCTCCCAGCCCGTATTCCGGCTGAAGGAGATCATGGAAGATGTGAAGCCGAAGTTCCTATTGTCGTCAAGTCACTACTCCGCTCTGCTTGCGGAATCTGCGGAGACAACAGTGGTAGTCTCGAGGGAGTCTGTCGTGAAGATACAAACACAAGACGATACTGCTATTGTGCTTCCTTATGTTTCACCTCGGGACGAAGCATACGTTATGTACACAAGTGGATCGACAGGGAAGCCAAAGGGTGCTGTGATTCACCATGGAGGCTACCTATCAGGTGAGTCGTGCCAGAAGAACGACCCTGCAACGCTCCAGATATAATTCTATAAGAGATGCTGATGCATCTTATAGCTTTGCTCCTATGGACACCAAACCTCGGCCCTGGGTCACGGATGCTGCAAAATTCCTCTTATGCCTGGTCAGTGTGTATTATCGAGGTAATGACCAGTCTGTGGGCAGGAGCATGTCTCTGCATCCCCAGCGAGTTTAGCAAGCAAAACGGCCTGACCCAGGTCTTCGAGGACATGCATATCACCTATGCAATCTTGTCGCCTTCGATCAGCAAAACCATCAGGAGGGATGAGGTCAAGCATTTGGAGACTGTCGTCTTGTGTGGCGAACCCGTTTCGCCAGAGTCGGTGGCTAAGTGGGCCTCGGAAAAGACAACCGTATGGGTCCACTGGGCTGCTACGGAATGTTTGTCTCTCGCTCGACCCGACCCCTTTACGGCAGAATCCGATGTTCGGAATCTGGGTCGGTGCTCAGCGGTCTGTCGGGTTGTCGAAGTTGGCAACCCCGACAAGCAGGTCCCGATCGGGAGCGTTGGTGAGATCGTCGTCCACGCGCCCTGGATCGCAAGCTGCTATCTCAACAACGCAGACCGGACCGCCGCCACATTTCTGGATCGCCCCGACTGGCTCGACGGGAAGCCATCCAGCTACGGGTCCCGCTGGTACCGGGTGGGAGACCTGGTTCGTCAAAACTCAGACGGCAGTCTGGTCTTGGCCGGGAGAGGCGACAACATGGTGAAGGTCCGCGGACAGCGATTCGATATGTCGGAAGTGGAAAGGGCTCTCGGGATCGATCCTCGAGTGCATAACTCCTTGCCGATTATTGCGCGAGAGGGCCTGTGCAAACATCGGCTAGCTGCCGTGATTGCGCTGCAGGATTTCTCATCGACGGACCCATGCTCGGAAGAGCTCATCCTCCTGGAAGGTGCCGAGTTGCAAGAGGCTGCGGCATGGACCACTGGGTTCCGCGAAGAGTTGGCTCAGCGCATTCCTAGCTTCATGATCCCAACCATCTGGGTATTGGTCAAGCAGTTCCCCCTTACTATCACGGGAAAGATAGACCGGGTCTTGATGAAGCGATTTGTTGAGAAGATGGATGTTGAGACCTTCGAACATGTCTGCTCTTTAGGGATTACTCCTGAGCCTCCTGTTACAGAGATGGAGGAGCGGCTTCAAGGGGTGTGGAGTGAGGTTTTGAAGCTTCCGCGGAAGAAAATAGGTCGAAATCAGGTTAGTGACCGCCGTCCCCCTCCCCCCCCCCCCTCCACCTCTTCTATGTCCAAGAGTATTAAACATTCGGTAGTCTTTCATTAGTCTCGGAGGAGACTCCATCCTAGGTATGATTGTCGCTGCTCGCTGCAACGACATCAACCTACAACTTCGCGTTCAAGATATCTTGAAATATGGGACTATAGCCGAGCTTGCAACGCGCACTACGACCAAGCCAACTACCAAAGCTCGGGATGCTGTTCATGCTAGCAAGTATGACGATCTGCGGAAATCCATCATCGGAAAGCTACAACAAGTGGGCGTGTGGAATATCGCGGAGGTAGAAGACGCCTATCCAACGAGCCCCATGCAACAAGGCATGCTTCTTAGCAAAGCCAGGCTGAGCGGCGACTATAATACTTCCACGATTTACGAGGTCCTGCCAAAACGAGACTCCCATGTTCCAAACCCGCAGTTGCTCACGACTGCCTGGCAAAAATTAGTGAACCGCTATTCAATTCTTCGTACATTCTTCGTGGAGAGCGTTTCGCAAAGCGGCTCATATGATCAAGTCGTTCTGCGGAACTGGGATGCCAAGCCATCGACCACAATTTGGCAAGACGTTGATGCGGTCTCGAATGAAGATGTGATACAATTTTTCAACAGCCATTTACCACCGCCATACGTGACCCATCAGCCTCCGCATAATTTTACAGTTGTGCTGACCCAATCTAGACGTCTGTTCTGTAGGCTCAACGCCGAGCATACATTAGTAGACGGCATGTCACTCGCGGTCATTGCTCGTGACATTGTATTGGCATATGACGGAGTCCTCCAACCCGACGAGAAATATCCATACTCGGCATATATAGCCCCCCTTCAGCAAGTCGCGTGCAGCATCGACAACAAATACTGGAAGTCGTACCTGCAGGGAATGAATCCATGCCTGCTTCCCAACCTTTCATATAGCCTCTCTCGGGACCCAACCCAGCCCGGATCTCGTCACGTCGCCGTGGAAATCACCAGTTCTCAACAGCTTCTCAAATTCTGTCAGAGCCAAGAGCTCACGATCTCGGCTCTGTTTAGAGCTGTATGGGGCTTGATCTTACGTGCGTACACGGGCTTGGATGAAGTTGCTTTCGGATACATTACCAGTGGTCGAGATATCCCCATTCCAGGGGTCGCCGAGATGGTTGGGACATTGATCAATATGCTTGTGTGCCGGATGGATCTGACGACAACGAGCTTCGTCAAGGATGTCATCTCCAAGGCGCAGACGGACTATGAGAACAGTCTCCCGCACCAGCATGCATCCCTAGCACAGATACAGCATGTTCTCGGGCTCTATGGGCAGCAGTTATTCAACACCTCCATGACGGTACTCAAGGATGTTCCTCTACAATATGGAGAGAGCCCTAGCATTGCTCTGGCGAACATTCACGAGTGGTCACCGAACGAGGTGAACGAAAATATCTCATTATCTTTTTCCTGGGCTGTGGCTAATATTCTCTTAGTATGACCTAGACGTACAATGCTGGGTTTCCAAGACGGATGTCAAAATGGAGCTGCGGTACCGTGCTGAAAAGATCTCAACGGAGCATGCCCGCAACATTGCATCAACATTCAGCAAAGCTCTTGACGCCATAACAGATGACCCCGAACAAAGAATCGGGCAACTTGATCTATTCAGCGACCACCATAGACGTCAAATTTGGGAGTGGAACTCGAGATATCCGGACACTATCGATACCTGCCTCCACGACATGGTTAGCGCTCGCGTCGCAGAGAGGCCAGATGAAATAGTGGTTGACTCGTGGGAGCGCAAGATGACATGGCGTCAGCTTGAAGAAGATTCTGACCGACTGGCTCATCATTTAATCTCTCTTGGTGTGGGCCCCGAGGTTCATGTACTGCTATGCTTTGAAAAATCGGCATTGGCTATCGTCGCCATGGTGTCCGTCCTTAAGTACGTATTATCAGGGAAATATATTTCCTGGTATCTCCATATGGTCTCTGACTTCTAAGCTAACTTTCGATTGACAGGGCGGGAGGCATATGTGTTTCAATAGACCCAACACATCCGGTACAGCGCCTCCAACGTATTATCAAAGATACCCTGCCTTTATGTTGCTTGATATCAGTACTACACAGCAAACTATTCGAAGATGAGGGTCTTCGTGGGCGGGTACCACGCGTCCTATCTGTAGATCAATCATTTGTTGATTCGTCCCTACTGTCAAGTTCTGGAAAGCCCCAATCCACAGTAGGACCTTCCAACGCAGCTTTCGTCCTCTTTACCTCAGGATCTACTGGAGTCCCGAAAGGTATGGTGCACACACACACCACAATCGCCTCTTCTCTCCACGCCCACGGCGATGTGTTGGAAATTGGACCCGGAGCTCGGACTTTGCAGTTCTCGGCGTTTGTGTTCGACATCAGCATCACCGAGATCTTCACGACACTTACCCGAGGAGGTGTGCTCTGTATCCCGTCTGAGCATGAGCGGATGAACGACTTGGCGTCGGCTTTCACACGTATGAGTGTGAACTGGGCTCATCTTACCCCGACTGTGGCCTCCTTGCTGGATCCCACGAAAGTGCCGACCTTGAAGCACATGACCTTGGCCGGAGAACCGCTAAAGAAGATTAATGTTACGGAGTGGGCGCCACGCATCGAACTCATCAACCTTTGTAAGTGGTAGAAAGGCCCAGCGGAGTTCCCGGCTTGAAGTCAAACTTTGCTAACTCCATCTATCTTAGATGGGCCTGCAGAATGTGCTTTGGCTACAACTTTGCGTAGGGGATTGGTGAAAGATGACCGAGTCGACAACATTGGGAGGGCATATGGCCTCCTAGTGTGGCTTGTAGACGCACAAAATCCCGACAAACTCGTGCCTGTCGGGGCTGTGGGAGAGATTCTCTGCGAAGGCCCAAATGTCGCACGCGAGTACCTGAAAGATAAAGAAAGAACTCTGGCATCGTTCATAGAGAACCCGGCTTGGCTCCAAAGCGAGAAGACGATACCACCACGCCGCTTCTACCGCACCGGAGATTTGGCTCGATACAACGGCGACGGATCGATCCAGATCCTAGGCCGGATAGACACGCAAGTCAAGCTCCACGGCCAACGCGTAGAGCTGGGCGAGATCGAGTACCAGGTCAAAGTCAAACTATCGCCCCACAAACTGGTAAACATGGCAGTCGCGTACGCAAAGTCTGCCGCGCACCCAGGTGGTGGGCTCCTGGCGGCTTTCCTCGAGCTCGAAGAGAAAGCCGAGGGAGACGAGGACCAGCTCATGTTGAGCATCTCTCGAAATCTGCGCAGGGTTCTCGTCGGTCTGGATACGTATCTTGCCGAGAATCTGCCATCCTACATGGTACCGTCGATTTACGTCCCGCTGAATGCCATGCCGCTGCTTACTGCGGGTAAGATTGACCGTGGCAAGCTGACCAGGATCCTCAAGAGCCTCTCGCCCGATCAGATGGCGCTGTATTCTTTGTCTGAATTCCAGGCAGAGAAGGTGATGCCCCGGACGCGAATGGAGAGGATGTTGCAGAAGCTCTGGGCGAAATTACTGAACATCGAGGAGCGCTCCATTGGCGTCGATGACAATTTCTTCCAGCTTGGAGCCGATAGCGTGGTAAGTGTGATAAAGAGAGAGAGAGAGAGATATATATTTATAAATTTGAGGAAATATTGACACATGGTAGGTGGCAATGAAGCTAGCATCAGCTGGGAGAGAGAACGGAGTCATTGTGACGGTTGCAAACATATTCCAAAACCCAAGGCTATCCGACTTGGCCGCGATTGCGAAACCTCACAGTGAAAGAGTGTTACAGGAGCTTGAAACTCGATACAAAATTCAAAGGCGAGCGGTGCAAGAGATGTATCCAGCAACTCCCCTTCAGGAGGGTCTCCTGATCCTCTCCAACAGGCAGCCTGGGACCTATGTCGTCCAGCATGTCTTATCACTGAATTCTGATGTCGATGTTTCACGATTGCGTACGGCTTGGGAGAGCGTTCATAGTCGAAATGCAATCCTCCGGACACGAATCGTGCATGTGGAAAGAACCATCGGCTCCATGCAGGTTGTTCTTGACGAGGCAATCCAATGGAAGGCTGGGGTATCACTAGATGATTACCTCGAAGACGACAGGAAGCAGAAGATGGACTACGGAGAAGTCCTCTCCCGGTACGCCATCATCGAGGGTGCCACTCACGGGCCCCGATATTTCGTCTGGACAGCCCATCATTCTATATTCGACAGCTGGTCTGCCTCATCACTCTTCTCGGAAGTGGCTTCAGCGTACCAATCGCTTGATGTGGGATCTTGGGAGACTTCTCCGTCTGACACGACTTTCAAAGCCTTTTCCGAGCAGATCTTCAACATGGATGTCTCTGCAGCTGAGGCCTTCTGGCGCGATCAGTTCTCCGATCTGCCGTTCTCGCCATTCCCAAAGCTTCCGGCGGGTCACCGGCCTCTGGCAAAAAAGTCTTTGGACTACTCAATTAAATTCTCTGAAACAATTGCCGATGCCCCGGTTTTACTCCGTGCAGCCTGGGCATTGCTATTGTCGCAGTATTCCGACACCCACGATAACGTCGTGTTCGGGATGACTATTGACGGACGAGGAGAGCTCGGGGCAAATCAGATTCTCGGGCCAACGTTTGCATCAGTTCCGGTTAAAGTCTCGATCAATGCTCAATCCACCATCGATCATTTCCTGTCTCGGCTACGAGATCAAGAGAGGAGCATGGAACCGTGGCAGAACTTTGGACTGCAGAACATCAAAGACCTCAGTGCTGATGCAGCAAAGGCATGCGACTTTCAAACGTTGCTGGCAATCCACCCTCAAAGTCGAACATCCGGGGCAGGGGTGTTGTTCAATTCGGTCACAACGCGAGATGCTCCATCAACGTACTTGCTGATTTTGGAATGTCAGCTGACCGAAAATGGCGTTGACTTGAAGGCACAATATGATCCAGAGGTCATATCGGCATCGCAGATTCAGAGATTGCTATACCAGATGGACTATATTGTTGGCCAATTGATCACGGGAGGTAACAGCGCCAAGCAGATCAAAGACATTAAATATTGCAGCCCGCAGGATGTGAAAGATATTTCTTCGTGGAACCACGACGTGCCCGCTCCTCTGCAAATCTGCATCCACGACGTTATTTCATCCCACGCAGGCCTCAGCCCGAATGCACCTGCTGTTGTCTCCCGGGACGAGGACTTGACATATCGAGAGCTTGACTCCCTATCAACAAACCTGGCTCACTATCTGGTGGCTCATTTTGGGATTGGGCCAGAATCGTTGGTACCATTGTGCTTTACTAAATCGGTCTGGACTGTTGTTGCCCAACTGGCAGTTTTGAAGGCTGGGGGAGCTTACGTGCCGATGGACCCTACACATCCAGTCTCGCGTCTTCAGGAGATTTTGGACGCGACAAAGGCGCAGGTCATCCTCTGCTCGCCTGAATACGAGGCTCTGAGCCAATCTATGTCAGAGAGAGCATGTGTGGTTAGCAGGAAGACGGTAGAAATGTGCAAAGAAAGGGAGGGGCCCGCTTGCCGAACTGTGTCATCTGATAACAGCTGCTACATCATATTCACGTCCGGCTCGACGGGAAAGCCAAAGGGTGTACAAATGGTAAGCCTTTCATAACAATAGGTTATTCGTGCTCTATCCCAGTCTTCCGATCCCAGTCTTCCGAAGCTCCTTGTCGCAAATAGTCGCTAACTTTTCTTCCTCCAAGACGCACTCTGGATTTGCGACCGCTGCTACAGCGCAGGGGAAGCGTATCAATCTGAATTCCGGGTCCCGAGTCATCCACTTCTCCTCCTACGCATTTGAAGCCTGCATCCTGGAGATCCTCACGACGTTATTCAACGGCGGTTGTGTCTGCGTCGCCCCGGAACCCGAGAGACTTGAGGAAATCGCCAAGACAATGAGGGAGCTCCGCGTCAACTGGGCTTTCTTCACCCCTTCGTTTATACGCACCATACACCCCGATCAGGTCCCCGACTTGGAGACCTTGGTCCTGGGTGGCGAGGCACTCGGGGCGGATAACATTGATGTTTGGGTGGACCGCGTCTACCTTGTCAATGGGTATGGCCCAAGCGAGACTTGTGTTTTCTCGGTTATCAACGAGCATATCCGCAGAGGACATACGACCCCCGACATGATTGGGGGTGCCATTGGGGGTGCTTGCTGGATTGTAGATCCCGACGATCATACGAAACTTGTTCCTTTAGGTGCCGTTGGGGAGCTCCTGATCGAAGGCCCGACACTCGCTTGTGGCTATCTGGATGACCCAGTAAGAACGAACGAGGTATTTGTTGATAATGCGGCCCTTGTCCAACAGCTCAGCTCAATCAATGGAGCCTCCACGAATGGCTCTAGATTGAACGGAAATCCGCATGGGGCCAATGGTGCAAACAGGCACGGCTCAGAAGATAATGGGATAAGCGGAAAGCCAGCATCAGCGAAGGCAAATGGGCACGTGCAAAAATCTCACAGGATGTACAAGACTGGTGATCTCGTTCGCTACGATACATCTGGAACAGTGGATGGAACAATACGATTTGTGGGAAGAAAAGATCAGCAAGTGAAGGTCCGTGGACAGCGAATGGAATTGGGCGACATCGAACATCATCTGAAGATCAATTTTGAAACCATCCGGCATGTTGCTGTCGAACAGGTGACCATTCGCGGCCGAGATAGTCGATACCTGGCAGCATTCTTCTCTCTCTACGGACAGAGTTCCAAGCCCCAACAAAGTCCCACGACCTTATCAATGTCGGCCGGCCTCAAGAAATCGATCATGAAAGCAGAGGCAGCACTGGTGGAAACTCTACCCTCCTACATGGTTCCAAATCTGTACGTCCCTCTTTCAGCCATGCCGCTCCTGTCTTCTGGCAAAACGAACAGGCGAGAACTGCACCACATGTCTCTTCAGCTGTCAGAGAGTGCCATCCAGCAGTATTCCCTTGCAGATGACCAGAAGCGACTTCCCATCACAGACACAGAGGTGAAGCTGGCCAGTCTCTGGGCACGACTACTTCGCCTGGGCGATCAAGCAGTTCTGGGGCTCGATGATGGCTTTTTCAGACTGGGAGGGGACTCGATTGGCGCCATGCATCTGACAACTCTTGCGCGTGACCACGGGATCCTCCTCACCGTCGCGAAGATCTTCCAGTATCCCCGCCTAGAAGACATGGCCGCTGCGGCGTTGACGTCGCGCGACGTGGTTGAGCAGAAACTGGAGCCCTTTGCCCTGCTCCAGAAGGTCGGAGACACAGACACGACATTGCGAAAATTGTACGAGAGGTATCAGCTACCACCCGGAACAATCGAAGATGCATTCCCGACGTCCGCCCTCCAGGAAGGGCTCTTCGTCCTCTCTATCAAGCAGCCCGGATCATACATGAGTCAGATCACTCTGACCCTCCAACCGGCCGTCGATATCGATCATTTCAAGCACGTCTGGCAGAAGACTGCCGATCGAAACTCAATCCTCCGCACCCGGATCGCGCATACCGGGACGCAGTCCATCCAGTTCATCGTTCGCGAGCGCATCTGCTGGCGCTCTGGCTCTGATCTGAAGACCTACCTCGTGCAGGACAAGACGACTCCAATGGATCACGGTGGTCCGCTGGTCCGATACGCCATCATCGTCGATTCCGAGGACGAACGCCACTTTGTCCTCACGGCTCACCACTCGCTCTACGACGGCTGGTCTCTGATGCTCATCATGGAAGACTTCAACCACCTCTACAACAAAAACGGTCGTCACCTGAAGAAAGAAGCAGCAGCCCCCCCACCCTACGCCAGTTTCATCAAGCATCTGATGACCTCTGATGTGGAAGCGTCAAAGTCGTTTTGGCAGTCTCGCTTTTCGGGAAGGTCGCTGTCGAGCTTTCCCGAGCCCAGGACGGTGACTCAGGCACCGGTAGAGACACAGATCTCCCAGTTCGCGGAGATCAAGCGGCCTGCGGGATCTGATATTACGCTATCGACCGTCATTAGAGCAGCTTGGGGCCTCGTCACCGCTAGATATGCAGGTCAGTATCGTTAGTTTCCTTGATGCCGTGCTCTTTTTTTTNTTTTTTTTTTAGGGGTAGTAGACGACTGCCTCTTGGTTGTTCCTCAACGTTTGTTCTGTGGGAGAGAGAAGCCCCTATCAACGAAGTCGTGGCCCTGTATAGGTTTGCAAGTGGTATAGATGAGAGAAACTCGGTATGCGAGGACGAGGGCAGGTTGAAGAGAGTAGTATGCTAAAAAAATTTTTTGGATAGACACCGAGGATGTGTTCTTTGGAGCAATTTCGACTGGTCGCAATGCATCACTGTCGTATATCGAGCGTATGACTGTAAGTAAACCCGCTGGAATTCCGCCGCCCGTGCTACGTAGGCGGCCTCTGTCTGGGGCGCACCAATTGCTCATGCCCTCGATTTCTTCTTGCTTAAGCTTGAAAGACATATGTAACCGCATGCTTATTTGGAGATTCAGGGCCCGACTATAACGACGGTGCCGATATGCATCTCGATCGATGGTGCTGAGGCCGTTGTCCAGTATTTGCAGAGGGTACAGGACCAGGCGACGGACATGATACCATTCGAGCACACCGGCCTTCAGGTCATCAAGACGTTTGGACCTGAAGCCGAGAAAGTCTGCGGTTTCCAAAATCTGTTGGTCATTCAGCCTGAGGGATCCGAAGATATGAGTAGCGAGATCTGGAAAGAGAGCGTTCTGTTTGCTAAGGGGGAGATGGTTACGATGGTAAGCACAGTCGGGCCATAGCCTAGTAGTGTCTCTGGAGTACATAGCTTGCTCCCAGGCTATCTGAAGGCTGAGAAGACGTTAATTGCTAATATTCTAAAAACTAGACATACGCCCTCATCGTCGAATGCAGACTTTATAAACATAAGATCAGGATTACTGCGCAGTACCGGGAGCACATCACTCCTACCCGTCAAATGCAGCGGATGCTCGACCAATTTGAACAGGTCCTGCACCAACTGAATGATGCGGCTCCAGATGGTCAGAAAATAAGTGATATTGAGATTGTCAGCAAGAAGGATAAAATGGAGCTTCTGGAATGGAGTAAGGGTACCGAGTATCCAGCTGTGGATGAGTGCATCCATCACATAATCGAACGACAAGCTCTCCGACAGCCTACCTCGCTAGCGATTGAGGCGTGGGATGGGAGCTTCACATATGAAGAGCTCGACACAATGTCAACTAATCTTGCTCAACACTTAAAATTTCTCGGCATCGGCCGCGACATTTTCGTTCCCCTATGCTTCGAAAAGTCAGCCTGGACAATTGTAGCCATACTAGGTGTGCTGAAGGCGGGAGGTGGCTATCTTGCCCTTGATCCCAAGCATCCAAAGAATCGGAAGGACCACATAATCCGAGATGTGTCGGCCAAGGTCATCCTTACCGGGAGCCAATACCGAGATGATTTCGACTCTGCGGAATTCATTGTCCTCGCCGTCGATCAAACCTTCATGGAGAGTCTCCCTCCAGTCCCAGACTCGGCTTGCAGTCCAGGGAAATCGACAGACGCTGCGTTTGTTGTTTTCACATCAGGCTCGACTGGCGTCCCCAAGGGGATCGTCATGGACCACGGCCCCTTCGTCAGCAGCGCAATCGAACATTCTAAAGCGCTCCATATCAATGCCGAGTCTCGTGTCATGCAATTCGCAGCTTATACTTACGATGTCAGCATGGGTGAGATCTTGACGACGCTGATGCAGGGTGGATGCGTATGTGTACCGACCGAGGAGGACCGAATGGGAAATCTGGCAGCCGCTATCAATGCTCTCAGAGTCAATTGGATCTTCTTGACGCCGACCGTTGCCGCCTTCCTCAAGCCTAACGATGTGCCGGGCTTGAAAGTTCTCGTTCTCGGAGGGGAGCATGCAACAGTGGACAACATCAATACGTGGGCCGAGCATGTCAATCTGATCAATTCGTATGGTAAGTTGTTACTTTTCACGGCGTCCTTGTTGTTTCAAGAGAATGGTTTTCATAATGATAACTTCTGTCAGGCCCTGCCGAATGCGCAATTTGGTGCTGTCGCGCACCAAATGTATCTCTTGGAGCAGACCCTGCTAGTCTCGGTTACCCAGTTGGGGCGCACTTATGGATCACTGATGCCACAGATCCCGACAAGCTTACTCCTATAGGATGCACCGGTGAGCTTCTTGTCGAAGGCCCGACACTTGCGCGCGAATACCTCAACGATGCTGCGAAGACAAGAGCGGCTTTTATCGAAGACCCAAAGTGGTCAGTTGATGGATCCGGGAGGCACAGGCGTTTCTACCGCACTGGCGATCTTGTCCGCTACTCAACAACTGGGGATATCTTGTTCGTCGGACGCCGAGATACCCAAGCGAAACTGCATGGACAACGGATTGAACTGGGTGAAATTGAGCAGGGTTTGACGAAGTGTTGTCCGTCCGAATGGTTCCCAGTCGTCGACATTCTCCGGTTCCCCGAGGGCAGGAGAGATGTAACCCTGGCGGCGTTCTTTTATGTCAGGGGTACTTCAACAACAAATTGCTCTCCCGGCAATATTACTCTGGCCATGAGCGGGTCTCTGAGTGACGCTTTCGACAAGATAAGATCGGATCTAGAGCAAATATTGCCGGGCCACATGATCCCGAATGCTTTTATCCCAGTCAGTCAATTGCCGCTGACGGCGGGGGGAAAGGTGGACAGAAAGGCTCTGAGAGCAGTTGGCGAAAGCCTCACCGATCAGCAACTGCTCTCATACCTTTCAAGCGGCCAGACAGTTGTCAGAATTCCCTCCACCGAGATGGAGAGAAAGCTTCAAATGTTGTGGTCGAAGGTTCTCAATATCACCCCTGGTTCGATCGGAGCGGACTCCAACTTCCTACGACTTGGAGGCGATTCGGTAGCCGCCATGCGTCTTTCAGCTGCTGCAAGGGAGATCGAGCTACTCTTAACTATCAAATCTGTTTTTACGTCGCCCAGGTTGGAGGACATGGCAAAGACCGCCCAGGAAGTCTCGAATCCCAATGGCGCTACATCATATGCGCCTTTCTCGACTCTTTCAGTATCGGACGTGCCGAATTTTCTAGATACGATCGTGCGTCCCCAACTCGCCAAGGATCTGGGTGAGATCGAGGATGTACTCGAGGCCACGGATTATCAAAAGTGGACACAGGGCTGTGGACAATTGCAAACTCGGGGGTACAATAACTACTTCATACTGCATTTCAAGGGCCCTCTGGATCTGGATAGGCTTCAAGCTGCCTGCCAGAAACTTCTCCAGCACCATCCAGTGCTACGGACAGTCTTTTTAACGCACAAAGAGAGGCTTTTACAGGTCGTTTTACGGCACTTAGTTCCCGACCTTGAGCGCCACCAGTATGAAGATACTCAGGGAGTTCCACAATCATTGCTCGAACAGGATCTGAAGCTTCCAGGTCAGCGACTCGTCTATCAAGTATGTATTGGGAATGCTAACATTTCGAATAGTTGAATTTGGGGCCCCGATCACCCGTCTGTTGTTGACAGAGCAAGGTCAAGACGGCTACCGGCTGTTCATACGGATTTCGCACTCGCTCTATGACGGTATCTCCCTACCGATAATTGTTCGGGACCTGAAAGCTGCCTATCTCGGAGAAAGCTTTTCAAGAAGCTCACCATTTCATCGATTCGTCTCGGGCACTTTGCAGGTAATGAGAGCCTCAGATGCAGAGTCTTTCTGGCGATCAATGCTCGAAGGCTCCTCCATGACCCGTCTCGTAGACCACAAGAGGCCCACATACAGCAACGCAATCAGCAAGTCTATAAAACGTACCGTGTCTGCACCCGACACGCGGACTACAGGCATCACATTCGCTTCCATCGTCAAGGCTGCATGGTCTCTCGTCCTCGCCCAGCTATCTGCCAGCTCAGACGTAACCTTTGGCCAGATAACGACCGGCCGAAGCGCCCCGATCCAAGGCATCGATGAGATCGTCGGCCCGTGTATGAATCTCGTTCCCGTCCGAGTGAAGCTCGATCCAGCCGCGACACCGTCGTCCCTCCTCCAGCAAGTCCAGAGTCAACACCTTGACATGCTCCCGTTCGAGTCGCTCGGGATGCACCACATCGTCGGGAAGTGTACTTCGTGGCCCAAATGGACCCGCTTCAGCTCCATCGTCCAGCACACGAACTTCAACGTCGGCATGGACGACGCCTTTGAGCCGTGGGGCGCAGATGTTGTGATGCGACTGGGCAGCTATACCCCGGATCACGACGTTAGCGACTGCTGGATCTGGACCAATCCTACCGCCGGCAACGGCGCTAATAATAACAGCAAAAATAATTTCTTCGACGTCGACTTCACGTATTCCAAAAATACGATCCCGGACGCCCTCGCTCAAGACATGCTTGACCTTCTTTGCGGCAATATCGCGACGCTGGCGGATCCAGATCACCACCACCACTCAGAGACCTCTCCCTGGCCACTCCTGCATCTCGAAACTCGAGTACAGCCTCCTCTCCTCCCACTCCCACTGCCGCTGCGGCTGCGGCTCCCACTCTCACCAACCACAAACCCCATCCCTACTCCTGATTCTAATTCTCCTCTACCCCTCATCATCACCACCTCGCCACCACATCTCAGCCTCGTGCAGCGAGCCTGGTCCACCGTCTTCTCTAGCTGCAATCTTACGGACGTCAACACCGCTTTTTACGAGCTAAGAAGCGATCATCTCCTCGCTGCCGCTCAGCTGGCGAAGGCTTTGCGGGAACAGCTATCCGAATCTGCTGGCATTCGTCCGATGTTGTCGCCGTTGTTGTTGATGTTGTTGTCTCCGGAGGAGATGATTGAGAATCCGACGATAGGGATGCAGGCTGCTCTGATTTCGAGGCTCGACAATTAGGGAGGAGGGGGGGGGTGGGGGGGTTAGGGTTATTGTT